GCTCAGTGGGAAGAGTCAGAGAAGGCTTCCGGGGGACTCACCCTCCTCCCTGCCCCCTCGCCCTCCTCCCTGCCCCCTCACCCCCCTCCCTGCCTACACCGCAGGCATCGCTTACCACATGACCCCTTCCTCAAGCTCAGCACCCAATCCCTGAGGCTAGAGGAGGTTGAGGACCTCATGAAGCCCTGAGGCCCATTTCCCAGTTGGAAATACTGTGCCCAGTTTCGAGTCCTGAGGTTTTGAGAGGTGGAGCCTCTCAAATGACCTCATTTGAGACATGAGCCGGGCTTCACTGGCCTGCCCGGGGCTGCGCGGGAGGTTTCTGGGTCTTTTTGTTATAGTAACACCAGTGGCTGCTGAGTCCCAGCTCAGTGTCAGCCGCACCGCTCAGTACTCTGCACAGGGCAGATGAAGGGGCCTTCACTGCATGCCTGTGAAGTGCAGGTTCTGCCCTCACCCTCGTTTTCCGGAAGAGAAACTGGGGACAGTCCCTGCAGCCTGCCCCTGGCCCAGCCCTATCCTTCCACTGTCCACCCAGCAGGAGAAAGCCGCCTAGGCAGCATCTCGAAGCTAGGAAAGGACAAGTTCGAAGCCCTCCTTCGTGGAGGCAAAACTGACTCCCAGGGGCCCTGGCCTGGCTCCACTCCCAGCAGCAGAAGCTGGATTCTAACCCGGGTCAGAGAGGCGTGGAATTGTTTAGGAGAAGCGAGCGCAGCCCAGACCCCAGGGCTTGGTGGGCCATGGGCCTCAGAGCAAGGCTCTGTCCCCATCCCTTTCCTCCACCTCTGCCCCAGCCTCCGAGTCACTTACCCAGAGGTGGCCAGGAGAGGGCTGAGAGTTTCTGTGCCCTACAGTTTGGAGACGCCGGCCTGCGGCTCCTGTCGGAACACCTCACCATGCTCCAGGTGCTGAACCTGTGCGAGACCCCGGTCACAGACGCTGGCCTGCTGGCCCTGAGCTGTGAGTGCCTCGGGGGCAACTGGGGGGTGAGGGGCTGCTTTATTCATTCCTTCTTTGCTTCAACCAAACTGGCCAAGCGCTGACTTTGCACCGTGCACAGATAGAGAAATTTATTCATTCACGAACATGTGTTCACTGCACACCTGCTGTGGACCAGGCACCATTCCAAGGGCCAGGAACAACACAGAGAAAAATATTCCTGATCTCAGGGAGCTTATGTTCTAGAGGCAATAGAAAAAATGAATAAGGCCAGCCTGGGCCCTCCTGACACTCGCAGTCCACTGAGGGGTCAAGTTCAAGAATGGGGCTGTAGTGTGTTGCCACTGTGGTCCCCCGACCAGTGGCGGCAGCGTCTTCTGGGGGCTGGTCAGAAATGTCCATTCCCAAGCCCACTTCGGACCTCCTGACTCAGACACCACACGGGTAAGCAGATGTCTGGGAGACTCCCGGGCCCGTTGACATTTGAGAAGCCCTGTCATAATAGAAGGAGCCACAGAATTCTCAAGGAACCTAGAAAGGCCAATTCCTGTGTCCCAACCCCAACTGACTGAACTACCCTCAGGGACGTTGAGCTCAGGCTTCTGTGTTTGACCGGCTTTCCCTATTCCAGGCCCACTGCTTTAAACGAGAAGACCCGTGGCTCAGTGGGAAGAGTCAGAGAAGGCTTCTGGGGGAGGTGCTGTTGAATCTGGGTGTGAAGACAGATTTGTGGGAGTTGGCCAAGGGGGAGGCACCCTGGGCAGGGGTCATGACTCCTACCGGGTCATTGGCAAATTCTGGATGGCTTGGGAGGAGGTGGGGGCAGGTGACTGGGTCAATGGAAGCAGAGAGGCAGCGCTCGGCCAGTTTGGCTGCAAATGCACATGGACTGCTTCCACTGGCATTCCCCGGGGGGCGCGGTCCTCAGGAACAGTGCGGATTCCTGGTCCCCGCTGCAGCGCTGCTCAGCGTCTCTGGGAGTGGGTGGAGAGGTCTGCTCGCCTTGTGACTCCAACACAAAGCAGAGGTTGAGGCTTGCTTTCAAGAAGCAGCACCCGAGTCAGTGACGATGCGGGGAGCATCCGGGGTTCCCTTAGCGGGGAGATCTTGGGCCTGGTCTGGGGTGTGGCAGGCAAGCTCTGGGGACATCAGGTCCAGGCAGCGGGGGGACACGACAGAGGGACCAGAAGGGAAGGGAGACTCAGCGGATGGGAAGAGAACGAAGGCTCTGTTCAGACCAGCACATGCCTGAAACAGACCTTCAGTGTCTAGTAGGCCACCTGTCCTGGCTGTGCCTGCGAAACCTTCCTCCCCAGCCCCATCTCCTAACAGGGGGCCTGGCACCTACGTTCAGCTCCTCCAGCGTGGCCATCCCATCCCGGCATACCTTTGGGGCCTCACTCTCCTGACAACTGTGTCTGTCTCTCGTACAGCCATGAAGAGCCTCTGCAGTTTAAACATGAACAGCACCAAGCTCTCAGCCGACACCTACGAAGATCTGAAGGTAATTCCATCCTTCCTCCGCTCTCTCCTCCCCTCCTTTCTCCAGCCGGCATCTGGATGCTGGTGCATCTGCTGCCCAGAGCTCATTCTCCAGTAAAAGACGATGACACCCGCAGATCAATACACAAATAAAGGCAGGTCAAAAGGAGTAACAAAGAGGAAGCAGCAGGGAAGTCATTGGAAATAGGAGGGCCTGTGTGGCCTGGGGTGATCAGGGATGGTCCCTTTGATGAAGAGGCCACAGGAGCTGAGACCCAAAAGGTAAGAAGCCAGAAATACAAAGGGCGAGAGGAAGAGCAAGTGTCAAGGTCCTGAGACAGAAGAGATTGGCAAGGCCCGGCTTTGTAGCAAATGTAGCCAGGAACTAAGAGAGGAAATGGGCTGGGGCCGGATGAAAATGCCCTCACAGGTCACAGCAGAGCAGCGAGTCACGCTTTTCAAAGCGTGCTCTGGGTGTTAGGAAATAAATATTTTGAGAGGGAGCAGGAGTAGAAGCAGGGAGGGCTGAGCAGGGCGGGTGCCTCACAGCACTGAGGGCTGCACTGCACCAGCACTAAGCCAGCAAGTGAAATCAGGGAAAGAAAAAGGATCAGAGGATAGAAGGCAGGGGCGTTTTAAGAAATGCACTTGCACGTCTTGGGAAGGTTGGAGGAGCCAGGCCTTCAGTCGCCTCCTGTCATCCTGTCACCCCATCCTCCTGGGGCTGTACCAGCTGCCCTAGAAGGAGCAGACGGGACCGGCAGAGGGCCAGCATCCTGGGAGAGAAGGGCTGGGCTCAAAGGTGAGAAGGCACAGATGGCGCCCATGAGCCATGCTGGCACCTCCGTGCCCTGGAAGCCACTTAGAGGGAATCCCCCGGCAGCCCTTGGCTGGGGCCCATCTCCTACAGCCAGGCCTCCTGCCACCAGGGCGTGCTCACTGGGGCATCCTCCAGATGCCTCTGGAGCCTCTGCTGTGTACCAGGCCCGTGTCAGGGACAGGGACACCAAGGTGTGGCTGCCACAGCCCCTGCCCGGGGATAGTCCCCCCTGGCAGGCACAGGCAAGCTCAGCAAACCAAGGTGGGCACAGGGCCTGGTGGGGCCAGGAGGGACAGTCAGCAGAGAGTGAGGTCCAAGAGAGGATGTATGGGACGCAGCAGGTGGCAGGGGCACAGCCAGCAGATCACTCACCCCAGCGTTTAGACCTCAGCACTCAGGGTGGCATCTGCAGACCAGCGCCCTTGGCACCACTTGGGGGCCAACAGAAATGCAGGATCCAGGCCACCCCAGGTAACCCCACCCTGGGGGATCCCTGTGCACACTCATGTTTGAGAAATGCTGCCTGGATTATCTTGAGTTCAGAGTGCTGAAAGTCAGACGCTACTGAGAACAAGCTGGAAAGAGGACATGAGGAGTGCAGGAAAGGCCACTCGGGAAGAAAAATCACTTTCAGTCGATTTTTTCATTTTCACACATTTGAGAGGGACATGGTGCCAACTTGATGCTGCCAGCCTGTGACCAGCCTCCCTGTGGAGGGGACTCGAGCAAACAGCAGCTGCTTATCCTTTGGAGGAGGAGCCTACACTCAGTGCCAGGCAGGCCACACCCCACTCTTCACTGCCCAGTCTGGCCAGACCTTCCCATTTTTCAAGAGAACCTTGAAACCTAGATTCTTCTACGAAGTCTCCTAATTTTGAAGGGCTGGCTTAGTACGCTTTATAGCACTGCAGGTGGCTGCAGGTCCCCACCTGTGACCTCTGCCTGGGCAGTGGGGAGCCATTGAGGGTTGTTGAGCACAGGAGAGCAGCAGTGAGGAATTGCATGTGCGTGTGTGTACATGTGTGCGTGTTCATGCATACATATGTGTACATGCATCCAAAAAGTATGCTGGCCAGTGTACAGGAAAGTTGGGAGGGAGGAAGTAAAGGCGTGATGCCAGTTGGGAGGCAGCTACCTCTCTGTAGAGTGGAGGCTTGTTAAGAAAAAAAACCAGCTGTTTGTAGAAGAAGAGTGGAAGTCTGAGTAGCAGAAACAGAAAGCAGAAAACAATGGAGAGACGCAGCAGGTGGAATCGTAGAGTCTAGCAACGCATCCAGCGAAGGGGAAGCCCCAAGTGAGAAGAATCTAAGCCAAACCCCGGGTACCTGGGACTTACTGGGATCCGCATCACTCACCCTGTCCATTTTCTGATAACGATGAGAATATCACTAACAGTAAAAATAAGAACAGTTTCCTTTCATAGGGCTTAAAGTATGGGACGCAGCAGGTGGCAGGGGCACAGCCAGCAGATCACTCACCCCAGCGTTTAGACCTCAGCACTCAGGGTGGCATCTGCAGACCAGCGC